CAGCACTTCAACATTTGTAACCTTGTCACGCCACGAAATGCATAAGATCTTGCAGCAGCATCTGAGATGGAAAATGTCAAGGAGCTCTTATCGCCTGCTATGCAAGGTCCATGTTTCAGATCCATAAAGGAGTGTGCTGATGACACATGCTTCGTAAATCTTGATCTTTGTTTTGAAGGTAAATCTTTTGTTTTCCCTTTCTTGTTTCGTCAGCCTTCCAAAAGTTGTTGCTGCTTTCCCTATCCTGATGTTGATCTCATAATCAAGCGATGTAGTAGAGCTGATGGTAGACCCTAGATAACAGAACTTGTCTACTGTCTCAAGTTCCTTGTCGTTCAGCCATATATGACTCTGCTGTGCACCTTCTTGAGTAAGGATGACTGTTTTCTTAAAGCTGATGACCAAGCTAAAGATCTTTCATGCTGTTGATAGGCGGTCCATCATTGTTTGTAGGGTTGATTCACTGTGAGCAACAAGAGCAGCATCATCGGCTAAGAAAAAATGTCGTGCTGTTGTTTTGTTGATCTTGGTCTTGGCCTGGAATCGAACATGATAGAAGAGCGACCCATCAGATCTTCAGTAGAGGAAGACATGTAGAAAGAAGACACAAAATAAGTGCTATAGAGGGCTGGTGCTAAGACACAACCTTGCTTTACTCCGCTATTGATTCTGAAGCTGTTTGATGCTCAACCGTCAAAATCAATGGTAGCCTTCATATTTTCCTGGAATGAGATGATGAGCTGTAGCAACATTGGGAGACAACCAATTTTTCCAAGCACCATGTAGAGTCCTGATCTACGGACTGTATCAAAAGCTTATGGCAGATCGACGAACGCAGTACGTAATGGCAGTTGTTGCTCTCTGCATTTTTCTTGTGGCAGACGAATAGAAAAGATCATGTAATTTGTTGAGCGGTCTGATCTGAAACCGCATTGGCTCTCTAGTAGGACTCTTTCAGCTAGTTTCTGAAGTCGCTTCAGGATGATCCTGGCAAAAGCTTTTCAAGTGATGCTAGCTGTGAGATACCTCTGTAGTTGTTGCAATCTCCTATGTACCCTTTGTTTTTGTAAAGTGTGGTGATTTTGGCATCTCTCATGTCATGTGGAATTTCTGCTTTCAGCCAACAAGTCTTCAGTAGCTTGTAGAGATATGGGAGGAGGGTCTCTTTGTTGTCTTTCTAAGCGAGTTCGTCGATTGCAGAAGAGAGTTCTTCTTCTGTTGGTGCTGTATCAAGTTCTGACATTTCGGAGAGCTGAGGAATGTCCTCATGTAGCTGTCTATCAACATGTCTCTCTTCAAAGTACTCGTCTGAATAATGTTCCACCCATCTTTCCATTTGTTTCTTTTCGTCTGTCTGCTGTTCATCTGCCAGACTTTAGAGGTGCCAATTTGTTTGCTGTTAGTCCAATAGCAACTCTGATGTTTTCATACACTTTCCTGATATGACCATATTCGTCGTTTGCCTGTTGGATTTCTGAGCATAATTTGTCCCAGTACTAATGGGCGCACTTTCTGGTTTCTCTTTGAAGGTTGGTTTTAGCAGCACGTAGGTGTTGCTCTGTACTTTCGGTTGGATTTGTGATGTTTTCTCTCAAAGTCTTACCCTTTTTATCGAGTAGTGGTGCGAGTGTTGATGTACTGGCTTCAACTCAGTCCACCTTGCAAGGTCTTTCTATTCTAAAGGTAATTGACACAGAATTATAAATTGGCGCAACTGGATGTCGCCACGGGTCACCTTTGACGATGTTCAGTCGCACTGATCAGCTTCCGCCTGTCTCAAACTGGGCAGCCCCCAGTAAAGTGCTGATCCGCCTTGTCTGTTTGCTTCTATTGGTGTGAATGGAGCTAGGACAAAAACCGAAAGGCATGTGTTAAGTCCAGCAACAGGCAAAGAAAGAGTAAAACTACCCATGGAAACTGGGGACCTGGAATGTTAGAACAATGACAACAGGATTGGACACTTTCAACTTGGAGAAAACAGAGGACATCAGAAAGACAGCAATCATAGACGGGTAGCTCACACGACTCAAAATAGACATCACTGCCCTGCAAGAGACAAGAATTGGTAACTCTGTTTCCCTCAGGGAAAAAACTACACTTTCGTCTGGAAGGGTCTTTGGGAAGATGAGAGGAGAATCCATGGTGTGGGCTTTGCAGTACACAACAGATTGCTGAAGAGGATCAGCATCCCCAAGGTATATCCGAACGTACCACTGAATTTTGGTTTCAAGAGGGAGGGTCTGCGTATCACAAGAGACATACTAAAAGAACGCTTCCGTATTTGTTGGGCTTATTGTTAGTCCAAATTTCTCACATGGATTTGGCAAAAGATCCACACTGTTTTGCATGCTAGATTCTTCATAAGCACGCTAGATAAAATCATCGGAAAATAGCAGTTCACATACATGATTCATGCTAGTTTTTGTGTTTGCCTGCAGCCTAGGAAATTTTGAAGAATTTAGCGCCCTGTCTGTACCTGATATCAACAGCAGCAGGGGATCTCTGGCGTTCTTCATGCATCATCTTTGCTGAAAAGTTTTGGTGCCAAACTTACAGCCCTCTCCCGCTCCATTTATCACACAACTTCTAACATATCATCATTGCTTTTGACACTGGTTTTCAAGAAATTCGGCGGGCAACAGTACTTCACTAGGATGTTCCATAATCCTTCTCGTCTAAGGGTATAAAGAGCCTTTGTAAACTCAACCAAGGTGATGAATAAGGCTTTATTCTGGTCTATGCACTTTTCCTGAATCTGAATGTCTTCCTTGTTGAAAGGAAGGCAAACTAACTAGAGACATCATTAGAGCCTCGCAGGTTTAGGGGCCTCGTCCAAAAAGACCAACTCGGTGGCCGTATCACGTCAAAACACCATGCCCACTGCGACGGTGTACTGCCACCTGCTCTAAATTGCTTATCATTGGCCTGCTGCGATCAACTTCGAGGTTGTTCCCCCCCCCCTCCTCCTAATCCCAATGTCAAGCCAGAACACCAGCCAATGAGACAGGTTGTGCTCAGTTTCATGTTGTAGCAGGGACTTTTTTACCTGGCCAGTCTCTGCTTATTAAATATTCAAATGCCCACGCTTTTTTCTTCTCCTATGTACATCAATTGGCCCCTTGCTATAAACTCTGGTGAAAGAAAAAGTATGCTAGGTAAGTGCTAGACTCTTAGCTAAATTGTTAGCGTCAATTAGCGCTAACCCCCGAGGGCGGATCTTCATGGTGAGCACGATTTTCACAATTTTACATCTGGGGGAATTAAATTTGGACACCTGTACACCTCCAACTAGTTTTCCTGTTGATGCCTTTTACAGTTCTTGTTCTGTCTGTAGGATACTAAATATCCGATTTCATTTCAGCAAATACTCGAGCATTTTGGTGCCTACTCCATAACCAGATGCCTATAAATAGGCGTTGCTTTGGCACATAGAAAATTGAAAAGCAGGGATGGTGTTTGGGAAGAGGAGGGGGGGGGGGTGTTAGAAAGAAAAGCCTGATTGCCTCGGCTTTGTTCTGTGGTATTATTTCCTCTCCCCCTCCTTATTCTGCCGTTCTTGCAAATACTAGTCTTCTCCAAAACTCGACATATTAATACTATGTTATGTCTGTGCACAATGAAAAAAGGAGACGTTCTATATAGGAACAAAAGGGGGCAGGTGAGGAAAAAAAGAGATGTTGCTGAAGTGCTACTTACCGTTTATGTTTACCTGCCTAACGATTTTTCTGTTCAGTTTTAAATGTCGGCAAAATAATGTGTCTACTGAGGTCTTCTTATTCTTCTTATTCTCTTCCTTGATGGAGATACCCCCCCCCCCCCCCATTACTTTTGTGATGCTTCCATCTCGACAATCTAATACTTTTTCCTCTACTCCTGCTGCATTTTGTTAACTCCTAAATGAACATTTTGGAACAACGTGTATAGATCCCAGCAGACACATGAATCCTCATTACTTTCAAGAAAGGAGTCTGTTAAATGACAACTGGATTTTTTTTCTAAATTGCTTGGTATGCTAATATTATGGCCTCGTCACTCGTCATTAAAGCTTAAATTGACCAACTTCTTTAATCTCTAAAATGTACTCTCACCAAACACTATCCCCAATACACTGTCATTCACTAAACAGCATTGTCAGTAAATTGAGCACTCGTGAAACAGCATCTTCCCTAAAGTCTATGGTATTCAGCCCATGTAGATACATTGCTTAACAACCAACCACAGAATGCCACCATCGCTATTCCACATTTGATAAGTACTTTGATCGTCTTACTGCCCTGTTGTCCACAAGTTTCATCACCAAGACAAGGTTTTGATCTGCCCTAATGTAACGCAAAAATACCATACCAATGAGTGCTTATTTTGAAATAATAATTAAGAGCAGGGATTAATTGATTACTATCTCACACGCCCACATTCTTCTGACGCGCTAAAACCCCACTGACATGCCGCGACCAGTTAGTACACGACTATGCTCTACTTTCTTTGAAAAGGCAACTACGCATTTAAAAGCAAACAAGCACTCTCATAAAAACAACCTCCACCCAACGATGTCGTGTTGAGATCGATATTCGTAATTATGAGTGACTGACAACTTGTAACGAGAATATAAAAAACCCCTGGCAAAATGGACACTCCTTGCTGATGGTTGTCAATACTTCTTTCATTATCACTATCGTTTTCTGTAAAATAGTCTAGACTTGTTTAATGAAGCAGGATGTTTCGATTTCCTTTCGACTTAGATCTATATCGTTTTGTAATATCATATAAATAAAGTGGGTTTTTCCATGTGTGTGATCATTACATTCTGGGTTAAATCTTACTTTTTTCTCTATTTTCATGTGATAATTGTACATTTTACCTAACACTTTTTTGGAATTCCTCCAAGTCAATAAATTTAAATTCTGTATCGCACGCAAAGGAGGAAACGATAGCGTTATCAACACGTTCTGTCTGTTGAACGGAGAAGTTAATAGGCTAAAACAGACTGCTGCTTCCGCCAGGTGTTATGTGAGCGTGGCGCTGCTGGCTGGCTACATCTACGCCATGGGTGGATTCGACGGTCACGTGAGACAGAACTCCGTGGAGCGCTTCACAAAGGAGACCAACCAGTGGAGTCTGATACGGCCCATGCACCACCAGAGGAGCGATGCCTGCGCTACCACGCTCAACGGTAAGTCAGTCCTATGGGCTTAAGTGGATGTCCATTGGTCAAATACATAACAATTTTATTCAGTTCGGATTATTGAGTTATAGAATTATAATTATAATAACCCTGGTCTCTGCACACTACAATCAAAGTCGACCTCTGCTTTGATTCTCCAGATTTAACCTTAAAGTTCATTAAGGCTTTTTGCATTCCTCTCCCAAACACAAGACACGACCCCGCAACTGCAATACACGATAGACTTTGATTGGCTGTTGGCTGTGTTTTTATCAAACTGAACCTAATTGTTACATAATATGAAATCAAAATCTGATTATGGAGGAATTGATCAAATTGCGTAAAAATGGTTTCTTTTGACCCTCAGTGAAGAAACATCTGGCTACCCGAAACTGTATTTATCAAATCAAATTAGATAGGGATTTGACGAAACTTTCCACAAAGCGCACTGGAAATAAAGTGGAAGCTGCATTTGTCCCACATAGAAGTAATCGCCCATTTGAACGGCGATGTGTTTCAGATTTCTCAGCTAAGTGGTATCTAACTTCTTGGAAACAATTAACTTATATGGCTTGTGTCACATAGAGCTTTAGTATTGTCGTGGGAAGGGGGTTTGCATGGCACTGACCTTAACACTTAGGGTGGACTAAAATGGTGGAGGAGTAGCGCTGCTCTTTGCCCGTCAGCAACGATCACGTCTGAATTCTTTTCTAAAAGGACGCATTTCCAAAACGAGCACTGTAATCGGCTAAATTACTGAAAGAAGAAAACAGAAGAGCTGGAGTAGGATTAAGGACATTTGCCACTGCACTGGATTTACATTTTGCTAGAATAAAGCATCCGACAATGATAAGATACATCATTATTGTCCAGATCCTGGCACAATGGTTTGGTGTTCCACCACGAGTACACACACACACACACACACACACACACACACACACACACACACACACACAAATACACACACGTGCACACACATGCACACACATGCACACACATGCACACACAAGTTGAATTTTGAATTTTAGTAGTCCGTATAGAATTTTTTTGGAGAAAGCTACTAACTAAAAATATGTGAAAACCTTTATCATTGTTATAAAGCTGAGATGAGATAATAAACAGAACAGAGCATTCTTTTTGCTGTTTAATTTTCTCTAAACAGAGACAATATACCTCTGTTTACTTACATTCATGTTATTTTGCTCCGTTCTCGTTATAATCAAATAAGGAAATTTACAAAACAAACATACAGACAGACAGACGAACAGACAGACAGACAGACAGACAAACAAACAGTTAAACCGACAGACAGACAGAGAGGGGGAGTGGGTGTGGGGGTGAGAGACTCAGAGAGAGATCGAGAGGCAGAGAGAGAACAGGGATGTAAAGCGTGAGAGAGAGAGAGTGAGAGAGAGAGAGAGCGAGGGCGAGAGAGAGAGAGAGAGAGAGAGAGAGAGAGAGAGAGAGAAAGAGAGAGAGAGAGAGAGAGAGAGAGAGAGAGGGAGAGAGTGAGAGAGAGACAGAGAGAGGGAGGGAGAGAGGGAGACACAGGGGAATGGACATGCAGGAAAAGAAGAAGTTTGAGTGTGAAAAGAGTGATATTTTGAAGTAAAGAGAGAAAATCATGTTAAAAGCAATAACTGCTTGTTTTTAGGTTCAAGTGAAAATATGTACTAAGCCCAGGAAGTTTTCCAAGTGTTATATCAGACAGGCATGAGGATGGATAAGTCGTTCTGCATCGTGCAGAGCCATACCATTAGCACACTTTTATCACCGTTGTGTTTAGTGTTACTACTGAATGCAGTAGCCGTAGAGGCTGATGAAGTAAGAGTGGTTAGGAGTATTTGAAGTAGTAGTAGTAGAAGTAGTAGTAGTAGTAGTAGTAGTAGTAGTAGTAGTAGTAGTAGTAGTAGTAGTAAAGAAATACATTTGTTTGAGAAAAATTACCGTCATGTCAGCTTTGATACTCCTATTTTAAAAAATATAATTTATTTAGAAAAGTAAGCAACGCAGCAGTTTAACAAAATATCAGTTGAAATTGTATATAATAATTTTCATGCTTTAAAAAAAAGAGTATTTTCTAGCTAATATTATTATGACTTTGTTTTCAATATGGAATGACCCCCTCAAGAAAAAAATATAACTATAGAAACGTTGTTTTTTCTGTATCAAAACATCACGTTATTGCTCAGCTAGACACGAAATGCGTGGGTTATGCGCTCGGACGATAGAGCGCTGACGAGGAAGACTTGTGTGGGCCAAGGATTATTACTAATTTCATTAGTGTCTCTTTTTGGATGTTTCTTGTGGTTGTAGTGACAGGCTCGGCTTTGATCGTTTCTCAAAATAAAAGAACTGTTCATCACCTGAACTATACACAGAACGTTTTGTGGGACGTTATAGGAGTTTTAGCCTTCTAGTCAAATATTAGACCTTTTAAACATTTCAAACATGTTCCATTTGTTTTTTAGAGGCTATCTCCACCCTAAAAATGGTTTTGTTCCCGTTCATACAGCTTCTATTGCCTTGCAGGGGCGACTCATTAAGTACCAAACAGCTAAAAAGGATCAGGTAAAACTTCATCAAACTTTTCACGAAACGAAATAAGTGGGACAAATCTGCTGGCTTGCTGCTTTCCGAAGCTTGAAGCCAGCAAACACCCGATATATCAATTGATAATACGGCCAATACACAGGAAGCGATGCAAGTGAGTTAGCGCTAACACAATATTATATGAAGACAATCATACTATCAAAGCACAATCGATGACCATATGCACATTGTATTATGAACACAAGAATATTATATAATGGGATTAACCAGTAAGATGACATTTCATGAGGTATTTTGAATCTCCCCC